TCATGCCCATCCATGGCAGGTGCCAAGTTGTCATTTCCTATAATGACCATTTATGATCTTGTCAGTGAGGCAGTCATCTGGGGTGTTTGGGAAGCCTCCTGTTTGCTTGAATTTTAAATTGTTTGATTGTACATTGAGCATCTGGGTATTGGAAATATGTTGTTTCATTTATAAAGCTGAGTATTTTTGTATTTCCTGACTAGTTCCAGTACTTCCACCGATAATCCATATCAGTGAAGTTCAAAGATGAAAAAGTCATATGATCCAAGACTAAATTCTCAACACATAATTTCAAGTCTATGCGGCATCACCAATTTAATTGTCTGTCTATGAGGACACATGTGAGATTAAGTGACTGTGTCAAGAAATGAATTTTCTAAATGAATATGAATTATTATTTTGAAACATGATGCTATTTATAGGTTCAAGGTGAAAGATCCTCAAAATTATGCCCTAATAGTGCATTACCATATAACACAATAGAGTGTAATTTATGATGACAAAGCTTTCTGCACTCCAAATAAAGATGCTGATTAGGTTTGCAAGGTGCAGTATTTGTGAACTTATGCTAAAAATGTTTAACATAGAGATGAAAAAGTATAATTTAATGGATTTCACTTTTCTGTTTCACATTGAACTCTACCAGTGGAATGAGATGTCTTGGGGGTCAGTATGATTCTTAGTTGAACCTATTGTACCCTATAAAAGCCTATGCATCTCTAGCTGGTAGGGCTCAGTGGATACAGCCTTGGCCTGTGGACTGAAGGATCCTGGGTTGGATCCCGGTCAAGGGCATGTACCTCTGTTTCAGGCTCCTCCACGGCCAGAGCCCTGGTCGGGGAGCGTACTTGAGGCAACCACTTGATGTGTTTATTTCACATCAATATTTCTCTCTGTCTTTCCCTCTCTCTTCCACTCTCTCTAAAAATCAATGGAAATATATCCTCAGGTGAGGATTCAAAAATAAAAGCCTTGCATAATTGTAGACTGAGTTTAATGTTTTTCTGCATCAGCAGAAGTAGAGAAGTAAACTCCTGGCCTACAGAAACTTCTTAACTCAGAAGCACACTTGAACTATGAATGCTGCTTGGGCCCTCCTTAGGCCTGGTTTGGAGAGCTAACTCAGGGCAGCCACCAGCTCTCCATCATCTGTGTGAATTCAGAAAACTACCAGGGAATATAAGGGGCATTGAAATGACACCTTTTAAGAGTAAGCAGCAAATGCATACCAGATAATTGAATGTAACCTATTCGATTATCTGGTGGCACTGAATATAGGCGGGGGGTGGGAAATCATTGGCAGCAAAAATGGTATTTATTCTGTCCACTCCCACCCTTCTACTTGCTGCTACTTAACTTCCTTTTACTATTTTTCTCCTCTTATTCCTAAAACATTACAATCAGAAGCAGTAACTAGTAGAAGAGGTAGGCTAGATGGTGGGTTTGCCCCATCTTGGCTGGCACCAGAAATCCTATCAACTTACTTTTAATTAATTTTTTAAAATATATTTTATTTATTTTTTTACAGAGAGGAAGGGAAAAGATAGAGAGGTAGAAGCATCGATGAGACAGAAATATTGATCAGCTGCCTCCTGCACACTTCCTACTGGGGATGTGCCCGCAACCAAGGTACATGCCCTTGACCGGAATCGAACCTGGGACCCTTCAGTTCGCAGGCCGACGCTCTATCCATTGAGCCAAACCTGTCAGGGCCTATCAACTTACTTTTAAGTGAATACAAAAGCATACACCACGATACCAATTTGAAAATAATAATATATAAAAAAAAGAAATACATGTCTTTATTCCAAAGAGATGAGAAATTATACTTGTGTGGTAAGATTTTTTTTCTATACTTTTCAATATTTTATAATTCTTGCTCTTCAAAGTCAATTTCCAAATCAACAGAATTGGAAACTTATTAGAAATGAAGAATTTTTGGGTTCTACTTATGTACATGGGAGTGTAGATATCTGAGTTAGTGTTTTCATTATTTTTAAATAAATCTTTACTCTTGAAAGTATTACATACATCTCCCCTTTATTCCCCATTGCCCTCTCCTCTCCCCCTCCCCGCCAAGCCTTCACCACTGCCACCTGTGTCAATGGATTATGCATATATGCATATGAGTTCATTGGTTGATTTCTTTCCCCCCTCCACCCTCCCCTGCCTTCCTTCTTTGGTTTGACAGTCTCAATCTTATGGCAGTTCTATATTTTTTCTCTTTTAGTAACATAAGTTAATTAAATCAATTTAAAATTATATTTTAACATTTATTTATTTAAATTTTTTCCAACTACACTTGACATACAATATCATATTAGTTTCAGGTCTACAACATAGTGATTGGACATTTATAAACCTTACAAAGTGATCACTCCAAAAAGCCTAGTACCCATCTGGCACCATACATAGTTATTACAGTATTATTACCTATATTCCTTATTCTGTAGTTTATATCCTGATGACTATATTTATAATTGAAAATTTGTACTTCTTAATTCCTTTTAGCATTTTATTCATCTCTTCAACCCTCCTTCCATCTGCCAACCGCCAATTTATTCCCTGTATCTATAAGTTTGTTTCTGTCTTGATTGTTCATTCTTGTATTTTGTTTTTTAGATTACATATGTAACTAAGATCATATGCTATTTGTTTTTCTCTGTCTGACTTATTTCACTTAGGATACTAACCTCTGGGTTCATCTATTATATCAAATTATAACACAAGGTTATAGTAATCAAAACAGCATGGCAAAAAACTTTCACAGTTTGTGTCTTATCTTTTGTCTTAATAGTGTCACTAGAAAAGTAAAAGTTTTATACTTTGATTAAGTTTAATTTATCATTCTTGTTAACGGATCATGCTTTTAGAGTCATTATGCTAATAAATCTTTGCCTCACCAAAGATTGTAAATATTTTTCCCCATTTTTTTTAGATCTCTTATAATTTTAGATTTTATATTCAGGACTATAATTTATTTTTGGCCTATATATATATATGGATGGCAGTTCTTTTTTTGCATATGTATGTTCAGTTGTTGAAGTATCATTTGTTAAAAAATTATACTATATGTTTGAATAGCCTATGCACTTCTGTCAAAATCAGTTATCCATATACATGCTGGCTTTTTCTTTATTACAGATGTATTTCTCTATTTCTTTTCTGTATTACTGATGTATGTCTTTATTATTTTTGAAAACCACATTGTCTTAATAGCTGTAAAGTTATAATGTCTTAAAATAAGGTAGTTGTTTTTGCTATTTTAGATCCTTTGTTTTCCACATATGTTTTGGATTAGCATGTCAATTTCTAGAAAATATCTGCAGGACTTATAGTTGGATTAGATATAATTTATCAATTTGGGGAGAGATGGCATCTTAATATCAAGCCTTCCAAAGCATAAATAAGGCATAAATCTATTTATTTAGGTTTTTGTTAATTTCTCTGGACAATGTTTTTTAGTTTTCAGGTTTTTATAATTCTTTTTCATATGTATTACTAGCTGTTTGTTAATGCTATCGTAAAACTTCTTATTTTAATTTTCAATAGTTTATCACTACTCTGTAGAAATCCATATAGCAATCTTGTATGCTTCAACCTACTAAATTTATTAGCTAGTTTGAGCAGCTTTTGTTTTCTTGACACATTTTATTGGATATCTTTTTTATGAAGAGGATTATGTCACTTGCAAATAAGTATAATTTGACATTTTCCCCTAATCTGGAGGTATTTGTTTTTGCTTTCTTTTCTTAGTATACTGACTAGAAACTGTAGGACAATGTTGAGTAGATTAGTAAGAGTGATTATTTCTTATTTCTAATTTTATTTATTTTCTGAGTTTTTATTAGGAACTAGAGGCCTGCTGCACCTTCAGGGCTGATCATGTTCCCCACCTCCCCGCCTCCTCCTTCCCTTGCCAGCTGCGTGCTGCCACTCCTCTCCTCCTCCTTTCCTAGCCACCACTGTGTGGTTTCCCACCTCCCCGCCCCGCCCCTTCCCTCACCAGCTGCATCAGCCACCAATCACCCCTGGTTCCCCATCCCAGCCTGGGGATCAGGTGATCAGGACCAGTTGGCCAAGGGAAGGGACTGGGAGGTTGGCCGGCAGGCACTGAGGAGGGAGCCCGCCCTCAGCCCCCCTGAGGAAGGGGCCATGTCCGCTGCCACCCACCCCCAGTTCCCCGTCCCAGCCCGAGGGACAGGGCACAATTGAGCGATCAGGGCCTGCCAGCTGGGGGAAGGGTTTGGGAGATTGGCTGGCAGGCCCCATTGCCAATCTCAGCCTGCGGGCTGGGGGGAAGCTCCTGCATTGAGCATCTGCCCCCTGGTGGTCAGTGCATGTCATAGTGACTGGTCGTTCTGTTTGTTTAGGCTTTTATATATACAGATGGATGTTAAATCGTATAAAGTAATTTATCTACCTTTATTGAGATCTTCATATGGGTTTTCCTGTTTTAGCTGTTAAATGTTAAATTACAGCAATAGACTTTTAAAATGCTAAATAAATCTGTATTCCTGGGATAATTCACACTGCATCATTATATGTTATCCATTGTATCATTCTCAAATAACCATTTTTAAAGTTGTATTAATTAATTAATTTATTTTTTGTTTTATTTTTCCTTAATTTATCTTTTACTCTTAAGTTTTGTTTTGTTTTCCTTTACTTTGGGTCTAACTTTTTTCTTTTAGTGTCTTAGAGTGAAAGCTGAAGTCATTGATTTTTTTTCCATCTCTTTTGCATATTAGCTTAGTAGTAAATAGAGATATACTAAAAATATTCAGTAAACACATTGCAAAAGGTAATGATAATTAAAACTTTTAAATAAACTACGAAGAATATTATAATAGTACACCTAGTAAAATGCACTTTTGTCTGATGATTTCCATTGATTAAATATAAGTAATCATAATCCCTTATTTTTGACACAAAAATAGATGTGGATATAGAAATATGTTTATCTCCATATTACAAATATATATTTTAACTTATTTTAGGTGATTGTAAAATCGGGGCCAGGGACTTTCCTCAGTTTGGCTGTTTATGACAATTACATCTTTTGGTCAGACTGGGGAAGAAGAGCTATCCTGCGTTCCAACAAGTACACTGGAGGAGACACAAAAATTCTCCGTTCTGACATTCCACATCAGCCTATGGGAATCATAGCCGTTGCCAATGACACCAATAGCTGTAAGTTACAAAGAAAGCAAATTTATTTCTTAATTATATACTCTCAAAAATTTCTCTATGTGCTTTTTTTTTAAACCACGATAATCAAATATATCATTCTAATGGCACTAAAACAGCTGGAAGTGTTCATGGTGACCTTGCATGAGACTTCTTGCCTTTTTGCTTGTGTGTCTCTATGTATTTTAGTAATACTTAGTTGGATTTCATTTTGTTACATTTCCTAGGGATAGTGGTCAGGACTTGACATTTCAAAATATTGAAATTGTCCCAAAGATGTAAGTTAAAATGTCTGTGGCTCTTAATTTATCACCAAAGGAACAATTCGTTTTAAATTAGTGTTTCTGGAATTCTATTCCATTCTCTCTCACTCCTCGTATCTTTGAACTCTCAAATCAACTTGCTTCCCTGTAATAAACAAGCTTTGCCTCTGGGCTTAATTTTTTTAAATTACTGGAATATCTGCAAAATTGCTGTTTGTAGTATTTGTGTGGTCTCTAGTAGCATTAGTGCATTTGGTGCTGTTGCATCCTTGATAAATGTGTTAGTGTAGTATCCCTGTTACATATTTTTCTCATGTTCTTATCTTTTGAGGTTTTTGGATTTTCAAAAGTCCTGAGTCTTTTTTGTTTATGAGATTTTTAAAAGCGATTGAGGCAGTCTAACAGTTCACTGTAAATCTACAGCTAACATAGAATAGGAAATCGATATAACGTTACCAATAAAGCTTCCTCATTGCAGGTGAACTTTCTCCGTGTGCGTTACTGAATGGAGGTTGCCATGACCTGTGCCTTTTAACTCCTAATGGGAGAGTGAATTGCTCCTGCAGGGGAGATCGAATATTGGTAAATGACAACCGATGTGTGAGTAAGTAAAGAGATTCCAAATGCGATATGACATACTGCTCAAAACAGCACATGTGGACATTGGCATATTTGACTATATTCTTGAAGTTTTACTCTCCCCCAATAGTCAAGGCCCCATTGGCCTATCTGTATATTCTAGAAAAAACTCAATTCAGCATTCTACTTAGCTATAGCAATCTGTGATAGATAATGTTAACCCAAAGGGTTACAAATGGTGTCACTGATTGTGGACGGGAAGATTTGGGGCTAGCTAGAGAAATACCTGTACACAGCGATCATATGAAAACGTATGACTTTGAAAATTCATCAACAGCAAGACAAGGTAAAGTTGAAACAAATTGGTATGCAGGCTGGTATTGTGGCCTTGTAGTAAAACCGCTCAGTCTGTCCCAGTATGTAAATGAGAGAGAATGGCTCATGTGACTTATTTGTAATCATTTCCAACCTGTTAATTAAGAATGTAGCATTTCAACCTTGCATGATGTTTATACCTCCCAAACCCATTAAAATCTGTAATTAGTACCATTACATTATACACTTATTAACAACTAAGTTTAAAAAATTGCTTCTAAAATAAATAAGGGTTCAAGTATCCCAATGTTGGCATGAAAAATTAGCCAGCAGCATAAAACAGGTTAATTCCCCGTTAACATTGAGACACCCTGTGTATAAGACAGATGAGAAAGAAGCATCTTATTGGAAACTGGTGAACTCACTCTCAGGATGTTGCAGTATTTGACATATTTTCTCTAATTATATCCTCATCTCATACTTTTTTCATATTAGAATTTCAGCAGAGCTGGATGTGTCTACATTATAGAAATAAAATCAGAGACTATAAGTATTGTTTTTATCTTCATCTTCAGTCTCATGTTGGATTTTACAAGAAGGATCCGTTAGCTACTCTTTAGTACAAGGACTTTGACATCATTTTGTTTACCTTAGAAATCACTGCACCTAATACAAGAACTTCAACATATCTTCTCACTTGCAAATTGGTAACACAACCCAAAAGGATACCTCTTAGCCAAGTAACTAAAATAATTAAAAATAAATAAATAAACTGTGCCAAAGCAAATGAGGGAAAGATGCAATTGGTCAGGGAACTTTAAATGAAGATAGCCAATTTCAATAATTCGGGCCACAAATCCCCACACTTCTTCATCAACTATCATTCTCCTGAATTGCTGAGGCAATTGCTTAAACCCTCTCTTTCAGTTTGCCTTTGTGGCTTCAGCTGCAATGGTCTGGATCTGATGCCATCTGGAAACCTGGGGTGTTAGCCATGCGTTAGAATCACTGATGTTCCATTCACAGGTCACCACAGGCCAGTAGTGAAGCAATGCCTTTGGTCATAACAACAAGGCTTATTTGTATACAGTGGATGCTTATCCTTGCTGCAGAATAGATTAGATACATCTGTCTCTACTAAGCCACCTGGTTCTCTCTATTGATGAGAGGGCATGAATCAGACAGAAAACTGTCATTTTAAACAAGCGCAGTTTATTCACATGAAACTATAAAGTGATGGCGGATTCCACAGAGGTGACAGACTTTATAAAAGCATCCTGTAGCCTTTGGGCATTCCTATTGAAATCCTGCGGTTCAACAGAACGAATGGAAAGTAATTGGTGGCTACTTCCTGTGAAATTTATCTTTGGGAAATGAGAATGTTTCTGGCACATCTATGTCCTCTTCTGCATTAATTCACCCAGACCAGTTTGTGAATGTTAAAGCCAGTGTTGAAGCTGTGAAAGGCCATTTATTAACCCCTCCCTGAGGGCAAAGGAGGGGAGGTCATCTGTTGTCATAACACTTGACAAAAAGTTTAGGCAATTCCATTTTAAACAACATTGCTAAACTTATCAATACCCATAATAGAAAAAAGAATAGTAAATTTAATTAGATAAAGTAAAAGAATTAGAAGAAAACAGAACCATATTTTTGTTTCTAGAAAGACAGAGAAAATACTCAATCCCTTTTCACCAAATGAAGAGATCTAAGCATGAAATGTACAGTGTTTGCTTTTGCATCATAAAAATATACTTACGGTGAAGAATTTTTGTTTCTCTCCTCAAAGGAATAATTATTTTTAACTTTTAAAAATATTTGTATTGCTTTCAGAGGGGAAGAGAGAGGGAGAGAGAGATAGAGAGAGAAAGAAAGGAAGGAAGGAAGGAAGGAAGGATGTAAAAAATTAAGAAAGTAAGG